AGAGGGTTTGCGTTCAGGTCAACTGATATCGCCAGTGGGTCGACGATAGACTGAGCCGTTTCATCCTGCGCCATCAAACAGCAGGAAAACACCTCGACGGTAGAAATATCACATGTTAATACTTTATCACTAGCTTGAGGTTTATACATTATAACTGAGGTTAACTGAAATATATAGAAATATCACATGTTAATACTTTATCACTAGCTTGAGGTTTATACATTATAACTGAGGTTAACTGAAATATATAGAAATATCACATGTTAATACTTTATCACTAGCTTGAGGTTTATACATTATAACTGAGGTTAACTGAAATATATAGAAATATCACAAGTTAATACTTTATCACTAGCTTGAGGTTTATACATTATAACTGAGGTTAACTGAAATATATAGAAATATCACATGTTAATACTTTATCACTAGCTTGAGGTTTATACATTATAACTGAGGTTAACTGAAATATATAGAAATATCACAAGTTAATGCTTTATCACTAGCTTGAGGTTTATACATTATAACTGAGGTTAACTGAAATATATAGAAATATCACAAGTTAATACTTTATCACTAGCTTGAGGTTTATACATTATAACTGAGGTTAACTGAAATATATAGAAATATCACAAGTTAATACTTTATCACTAGCTTGAGGTTTATACATTATAACTGAGGTTAACTGAAATATATAGAAATATCACATGTTAATACTTTATCACTAGCTTGAGGTTTATACATTATAACTGAGGTTAACTGAAATATATAGAAATATCACAAGTTAATACTTTATCACTAGCTTGAGGTTTATACATTATAACTGAGGTTAACTGAAATATATAGAAATATCACATGTTAATACTTTATCACTAGCTTGAGGTTTATACATTATAACTGAGGTTAACTGAAATATATAGAAATATCACAAGTTAATACTTTATCACTAGCTTGAGGTTTATACATTATAACTGAGGTTAACTGAAATATATAGAAATATCACATGTTAATACTTTATCACTAGCTTGAGGTTTATACATTATAACTGAGGTTAACTGAAATATATAGATAAGATAAGATAGATAAAGATTCTAACCTGTAGAATAACGGCGCTGGTATCTAGAGATGTTGTATCACCAACTACTATCAACTGAGTATCTTGTAGATTTAAACGTCCTATAAATGGTACCTTGACCTACAAAATAGATTCATTTAGATTTGTAAATTTGATTTATAATGTAGAAGTGAACATGGAAACTGACAATAAATACAAGA